TCACATATAGGGCCTTCGCTGATCACTTTATACTTCGCTTATTAGCCTAAAAGTCATTTACAGAAAAGTAAATATTACCGCGCAGTGTCATTTTCCCTTTTCCAGGCTAAAAAACTGACAAAAAGGCTATACAGTTTTAAAACACCAAATTGTCCACAAACACAACTCGAAAAGGGGGGTGAGAGGTCAATCTATCAAATTCCTAAAATCTGTATCTGATAATCCCATGCCAATTCCATATGGGCCCTAAATTCTAAAGCAAAAGCCTTCATGAGTACACACATAAAGCAAAGTATTTAAATTTACTAGACTGCTTGTGAATTAAGGGATGAGGTAAATAAAATGCAAAGTACGTGATCAATGTAAAATATGAAGTTCCAGGTAAAATAGTTCAGTGGTTAGTAGCAGCAATGGTTAGTATGTAGTTTCATGATCTCCAAAGCACTAAAACTTAGGACAAATATGATATGCACTAACCTCCTTAGAAAGAGGAGCCTCTGCAATAGCATAATAATCAAAGAATACTTGCAGTGTCGAAGGATCTCTAAGATGGTCGCCAAGAAGACGGAATCTGAAAATGATCACCATATTACTTTAATCTGTAAACTCCATAGCACAAGGCACAAAGTGGAGAGCCTTTAAGCAATTAATAAAAACAAATGAATAGAGAAGTTATGCAATCAATACCGAACAGTACCAAACTCTTTGAACTTTCATCAAAGATGTCCCAACAAAATCAAAAGATAAACATTTAGAGAGAGCGAAAGAGCCAACTCTGCAATCGACTGGCAACTGTGTAATACATAATGCAAATCGTCAAAATGATAATTTATCAACAAAGAAGCATAAAACGTATACATAATAGTAGAAATAAGAATGACAGAAAGGTTATAGAGAGAGTGAGAGAGAGAGTAATACATATAGAATAAAAATTAGCATAATACCATATTTTTCAGTGACTCAATGATGTTAGGATATTGGAATATTTGAAATAGTGATTGATCCCTAAAGGAACAGGCAACCCGTCGATGATGTGTTGAAGGCAACCCTGGATTAGGCTGACATTAGGTATCAAGAAATATACAAAAGATGTTAGAAAGTCAATATATCACAACCAAGACAAGAACAATATAATTGAAAGAAAATAGAAGAATGATGTATATATAAAAACAATATCATTACTAGAAAAACAGTACAAACAGGTGGACAGCAGTCCACAAGATTGAAAATCCCATTCAAAGCAATATAGGAACAACCAAAACCAACTACCTAACCACAGCTTTCCAGCTTAATGAATAAAAAACAGTTAAATATCTTAGAAGCAATAGAAATCAGACCCAAAGATAAACAAGGAGATGAACCCCACCCCCTGAAAAATCAGCATCTTCTCCTAGCTTCATCAAAAATCCTTCTATTCCTTTCCAACCAAATAACCCAAAAGAGTATCATCACACAACAAATCCATAAGACCTTACTCCTTCCCCAAATGCTGCAAAGCTTCTATAAAGACTATAAGAAGTTTAATCTGGTTTTGGATCAAAAGCTTAATCAATAAAAACTATATAAAAAGGATTTCATTGATAGTAATGATCATGGTTCTATTCTATAGAGCAACTATGATTGAAACCAAAAACTATGGTTATACAAGACAAAAAACCTGATACTTTGTTTGACATATTTAGTTAAGAAGGCAAGATGAGAATTTATAAGAAAGAGAGGATAGAGAAAAAATGGAATTCCATTTCTCCTTGTGTTGGGTGATTGAGAAAAAATGATGTTTCTCCCTGTGTTGGGTGATAGAGAAAAAATGATGTAAGGGGTGGACCCACAAAATTTAAAAGCTTATACATTATGCTCATGTTTGTGGTGATTTTAATTTTCGTCCATTTTTAGCATTTTTTGGGGAGAATGCCTCCATTACGTTTATGTTCTTTTGTGTCTGTCACCCCTCTTGATTTGCTGCATTGATCAGATTTGTGCTTATATAGAATAGCACACTTTCTAGTGTCTTTGCTTCGTTGATGAATTTGTGTTGACTTCAATTAATCTAATTTGTTTTTAATAAGAAAAAAATGAAAGTTGTATAATAAAAAGAGCTATACTAAAGGGACAAGCAATCCACTAAAGAAACACAAACATGAGAAAACAAGAAGAGGCTATATATGGTGTATACTAGAAAGCCCAAAAATGGCAACCACAAATGAAGGCCAAAAAAAAAAACCAATGCCCCCAACTATCAAAACTAAACATATCACAGATCTTGTCCCAATTAAATGAAAAAGAAGAAGAAGGAACAATCTCAAGATTCTTTTCTCATTGATGCCAAGGAATGTTGATTTCACCAATCTGACTTAGCAGAAAAGCAATGCTTTAGCTTAAGATATTTTAATACCTAAATTTTTATTATTTTTAACATATAGAATCAAAAGATGATAGGAGTACTTGATTTCAAAATGATTAAGAAGAATACATATTTATAGGCAACCCACAACATCTTTTCCATTAAGGACAAAAAAAAAAAAAAAAAGTATGGTCTACATTTTTCCAGCATCTTACCATTTCCATGAAATCATTATGACAGTCACAAACATATAACACCACCCAAGTGACCCAACATATAAATTAACCATATCACCTTAGGGATACATAGCACACAAGAGGAAAATGTAACTGATTAATCTCAGACACAAGCTGATTCAATATCTTCAGACCAATGGCATAGTGATCTGATGTCGCCGGCCAAAAAATAGAAAAACTTGTAAGCATCATTTTCTACACTAAACAGTCGATTCGAAATAAAATGGCAGAAATACCAATGGCATGATAAGAAGTAAAAACAGCTCGTGAACATTTTGCTGCATACTTCCAGTTGTAGTACATCACCTGCTCAAGAAATTCGTGGTCTTTTACCAAGTCCCGGAATCTATCATCATCAAACCAACCAAATTGGTAAGTTACACAAGAGTTGAATCAACGACGCCGTCACAAACGGCTGCAATTCAGGTCCTCTTGTCGCCAAATGTTATAAATAACTCCCTACAACCCCACCACAAATTAAATTAAAAAAATAAAACAAAATTCGCGTTCAATTAAGAAAGTAAACTAAATCAATTACTGATATCAAGACGGAGCTGCAAGGCGAGGCTATGCTCAGTGACTTGCTTCAACAAACTCGAACTGGCGAGCATCAATGCGTACGGCGTCAATGCATTGTCAGAATGTATTGGCATTGTGAAATGTACCCGTATTCACCGAGAAGCACTTCAGAGTGTTCTCCGCGTGCGCTCGCTCCGCGGAATCTTGCGAATTGTATAACCTCTCACACAATGCCTTAACTGCGCCAGGCTCTCCATCCAAGACCAATGGTATAATCCAAACACAACACAAACTAATCATTCATTCGATATCGCAAATATCAATAAATGCAGAAAAAAATCTAAAAACAGAAAAATAAATAAACAAAAGAATTGATTTCAAAGGCTCGAGAAACGAATTGAAGATGAATTTTGGAACGTTGATCTTGTCGTAAAGACAAAGAGAACAGGAAAAACCGGCTTCTTCCCAAGATGAACGCATTGATGATGAGTTTCTAGAGTATCGCGACTGAGTTGAAAGAATTCGATTTGGAGTTGTTTGTGATCTTGTTTAAATTAGATTGGACCCTAGACCCATTTTCTATTGACCCAATTGTTCTACCCGGCCCAAACTCAGATGAATTAAAACCCTTGCCCAGTCCATTGTCTATTGAATTAAACCCGCTGCCCAAACCATTTTCAACTAAACTAAAGCCTTGGTCCAATCCATTCTCTAATGACCCAAGCCCATGCCCATGACTAAACCCATTTAGCCCAACTAATCTCCCATGTTTGCCCGGCCCAATTTTTAAATCCTCCAAGGCCCAATTTTTCTCCTCTATTCGTTGAGCCAAACCTAATAAGTGAACTAAATTATTAGATTGGGCCAACCTGATTTTGGCCCGAAATTTTGATTTTAGCCCATCATAAAAGCACGAATTAAAACTTCTTCTTTCTCCTCAACTAAAGGAGCAGAGATAGCTTCCAACCTCCGACGATGCTCCTCCACCATACCCAGTTGTCGGTTTCCCATCAATGATTCGTATGTACTTCCCTCGTCCTTGTCCATGCACACAACTGTTGCTGCAAGTCTCTCCGGCGCTGCTTTTCCGTTAACATTGAAGTATCGCTCGATTCTGAACACCCACTCATGTGGATCTTCGCCGGAAAAAATGGGTATCTCCAATTTCCGGCCACCAATCTCACCTCAATTATGCCCTGGATTGCTGGAGTTTCCAGCTTCATTTTGTCCTCCAAGGTTCTGATCATTAACTACCCTTGAAGCTTTCGGTGCCTCGGTCGACCCATCTCTTCTGTTGTTCCCAAAGTTCCCTTGTGGAATACCCATATTCTGGTCTGCTTTTCCAGATAAGTTTCTTCTACAAACTTCTTCTTCTTCATCCTTTCTTCTCATCCAATTTTGCATCTCAATCAACATTTCTCTCATGACACCCACGTTTTCAGATAACCTGGACACATCTCTTTGGACACCCATCAACTTCCTCTCAATATTATTAGTCCTTACCTCCATTCTAGTACCATCCATACCCCACAATCGTCTGCTTTGATACCAATTGATGGAACCCTCTTCCACAACTGAACCAAGCAATAATTCCACAGCAAAACAAAATAGCAAAAAACCAGCAAAACAGTAGAAGGTACAGCCAAAACCCGGAAAGATGATAAGTATATTGATATATACAAGAACTGTATCAGACAAGAACATCCAAAAAGGAAAATTAACACAACCAAAAGAACAGTAAAAGGATAACAAAAATGGACATAGACATGCTGGACTTCGAGGACCAGCTCCTCCCAAATTTTCCTATATTCTTCTCTGCCCTAATCTGCTCTCTCCCTCTCTTTTTATCCTCCAGCTCTCTCTCTCTCCCCCTAACCGAATTCCTTTGCTGTCCCAACCCCCAATCACCACCTGTCCTAGCCTAAACCCATGGAAGTTTCCTGCCAACATCCCCTCAATCCACTACTTGCTATCTTATTTCACTTTTCCTACACCCTCATTATCCAGGTCCCATCAGAATGTCACATGACAACACCCTTAGTAAGCACTGTGATAACTTTTTACAATGATATGCAATATTGTTAATAATAAACATGCATGAAGCATCTTTTTTTTTAGGTGGAAACAGAAGAAATTTTTTATTGAAAGGATTATACCATAGTTAAAGTGAAAAGGGGTCCACTGAAAAGAATAGAGAAAGGAAAAGAAAGAGAAACAACCTAACAGCTTGAAAGTTTAAACAAATTTAGAAGATAATCCACGTGATACAATGGAATGGTTATCCCAAAAACCAAAAATTCATTAGTGGTCTACATACCTTTCTGAAGGCCAATTTATCAGCCACAGGAATTGAAAGTGTCATCTTAAGAGCAATGTCAAGTGCATCAGAGAGAGCTCTATCACCATATAGTTCAAACACACCAAAGTTGACATAGTTTCCTGCAAGAGCTGCAATTTGGTGGGAAAGCACAATAAAATCAGCTCCCAAAATACATTTATATGAAAAACTCTTAGTTTAATGAAACAATGCTAATATAGAAATCAAACTACCCCTAGATAGTAAGAGACCGAAAACTAAAACCAATAGTACCATGCCAGATAACATCAAACTAGATATTTCATGTCCAACCACACTCTAAATAGCAGATCTTCTTTTCTTGTTTTACTGTATTCAATAGCAAAAGAATTCACAGCCCTTTTCCACATTACGAGTATAAGACTGTCACTAGCATTAGATGAAGGGATGAAAAGGCTAGGAAGGGGTAAGATCAGTCCTAGATCCATGATCATATGATTTCCAACTATCACAGAAAAACATGGGTAAACCAGAGAAATGAACAACTAAGAAGTAGCTGAAATCGTAGGCTGTGTTTTTTTAATATTTCTACCATATCCTATTCCTATCCTACCCAAAATACATATTTGTTTTCCTATTCTGAAAATCCAATTTTATTCTATTCAACTATTTTGAAACCCCCTAGGTTTGTTAATTTAACTAAACACCCCCAACAAAAAAAGTTTATAAATTGACAAAAACACCCCCACCCACCCACCCACTCACATATTCCCGGAAGTTGGTGGCCGGCTACCGGCATTTAATGGATGGGTGAAGGTGTTTTTGTTAATTTTAAAACTTTTATTGTAGGGATATTTCACTAAATTAACAAATATAGCGGATTACAAAATAATCTTATGAAATTTCAAATTCAAATCATCTCCTCGTAATAATAATCCAATTCAACTTTTTCAAAAATACTACTCAAAATAATAAAACAAACACACCCTTAAATATTTCATCCAGTGCCCATCTTAGCCATCTTAGTTCATGCTTTATATATTTCTCTACACTACCTGATACAGAATCGTAACATATGATTCTCACTACTTGCACAATATAGCACTACCACTTACGAGACAGCTTTAACATCAGATAAGTGTTAGAAAAGGGCATGGGTACTAACTTTTTTGTAAACACTTAAGTTGCTATGGAGAAACACAATTTAATCCATCAGGGTGATGCAAAGCCCCACACAAAACGATAGATAGAGATGAATTGCTCATAATGCTAGCTATATAGCATTGATAGGAGCAACAGTTAATCCTTAGACGCTAGCCTGATTATTTTCGAGGGCATCATAGAGTCATAGGTGGCCTTCATAAGCTAAAATTCCCACCCGCCAGAAGAGCTTAGGACTCGAATTTGTGACCTTGCTTTGACACCACTTAATAGGAAATTGCACTAGCAAGCCTCCTAAAAGCTTAAGCTATTAAGGGGAGGCATAATCCTTTTAGGGTAGTACAAAGCCCTAAACCAAGTAGCAGACGGAAATAAGATACTTGCAAGGCTACTCAGATAAATAGTTGCCAGTTTTTAAGTGACATCTTCGAGTAGCAAAAAGGTGATCCCCATAAGCCAATGAAAAGAACAGTAAAAGAAGGAAAATTGATTGAAGCAAAAGATAAATATACATTCCAATATATTGACAATAAAAAATAACAGGTGTATGCAAAACAATATTTCTCATACATAAAAGAAATAATCAACAATATTTGTCACAAACAAGAAATAAATGTGTATGAGCAAAAAGTGTGTGGCTGTCTAGATTTTTTGGCACATTGAAGTATAAAACTTCTCAAAGAACTTAGTTATTCTTACAATTTTGTTTAAGTAAAAGCTTAAATACTCATATTCAAAACTAATGGACATTTGTTATTAAAAATTCATTCAGAAAGTCTTCAACAACAATGGGTGAAACCCACCACATAGTTTATACTTTAAAGGAAAAAGTGGTTCATTTTCTAACCTCTTGAGAGAATAGTTAAACAAATCCATATTCCCTTGTATTTGTAGGCATATATATCAGCAGCATTTGGAAGAGCTAAAATCCTTGATCCATAAGCTACAATTAGTTTACTAACTTCCCGAAAAAGAAGAATGCCATTAGGAGAAGATGAGTCAAAAGTCAAACGCTGGGCTTTGTTTAACACGAACTCAGCCATGAATTTTAACAAAGGTGTAGTAACCTGCAATATTAAGTCAAATCATAAAGTCTACCTTTTGGCAACAAACAGTTCAAGTCACCCAATAGGGCTCTAAAAAGATACCACACAATGTTATTAATAACCAACAGGAAATAATATAACTGATACCAATTAACAAGAGTAAAAAGAAAATATAAAATACAATTTTCATCTTTTATTTTTTCTTTTGGAGAAATTTTCTTTAAAAAAATTGGAATGAAAAAGCAGTATACGGAATGTTTTCATCCCTCAGATTATTTTTCATCTAAATCATATTACAGTTGGCTACTGGATGATCTGGATAGCCTTTGTTCCCAGTAAGTTTCAATTTTTCTTAACAGTAGAACATTGCAATATGATACTTGTGACTTCAGTTTAAAAAATGAATAATACTACACTTCCCAACTAAAATATCAAATTTCTCATCCCGAAATATGTGTCATCTTATGTGGCTTTGATGTGTAAATGAATAGTTAATGTCGTAAATGATATGTCAACACCACATACGACGGCACATCACTTGGGAAGGAAAATTTGGGATTTCATTTGAGAAGTGTAGTATTACCCTTAAAAAACATGCCTTTACATATGTTTATCCCCTAGTGGTTTGTGAAATGTAGAAACAGTGGAGGGAGCAATAATCACATATTTCTCTTTATGTCCTGTTTTGTGTTAGTTAATATAGTTATTTATTATTTGTGTTAGTTTCTGTTCCTCCCCTTTCTAGAGATCTATACAATTTCAATTGTTTGTGATTATTATTATTTTTTCAAAAAAAGATTAAGGTATATTATGAAAATACTAACTGACCAAAAGAATTCCAACATTAAGAAGTTTTTGGACCCCGTTAAGTTAGTGCTTAATAATATAGAATATTGGCATGTCAGAGACCTCAGATCTCAACATAGTGATAGATTAACAGTATCTCCATACCTCAGGTGTATCAGTCCAATGTGAGATTCCTTTCAAGAGAAGTGGCATGTGTGCTGGATATAGCCAATCAAATAAAAGCCCATATGTTCTGCGACTGAAAGAGGTCCGGAAAAAGAAAACCATATTACTGAGTTGTGAATAATAAACAATTTCAGAAATTGTGTGTGTACCAACCTATTTGTGGCCATTGCAATTCCTCGGAGATCCCTCATTAACCCAATCAAAGCATACTTCACCGCATCAGCACGAAACATTGAATCAGGAGTTGATTCCAAAGTGATAAAAACCTAAAGCACCATAAACATCACCTTAATACCCACATAACAATAATTAAAAAAAGAAAGAAAGCATTAATGCATTCAAGAGTAAACATGGGCAATGATTATGTAAACGTCATCTACAAACTAACCACCAACAGGAAATGGCAGTTGCAACATAAGCACAAATGCCAGTAACAATAACCACATGTAAATGCAAGAAACAATATGATAAGTATATGAAAATAAGCAAATAAATAATCCACTGCATTTCTAATCTAATAGCTTTGATCATTAAAAGAATTCTTACAGAATTAAATTAAACAATCTTGTCCCATTAAAGTTCACTATCTAATAAAAATAAGAGCCTAATTATGAAATCCTGTCTTCCAGTCCCCCCGTGACTAATATAAGAAGCATCTTTATAAGCAATGGAAGACAATCTACCTAAATCAATTGATGTAGGATAGAGGGAGGAAGAAGGAGGGAGCAAAAGAGGGATATAATACAGAAAAAAAGAAAAAAGAAATGGGAGCTAATTAGAGAGAGAGAGGCTCTCTCTTGAAACAAACCATTTAATTAAACAAAAAGGGATCAGTACATCAGAAAATCAAGGTTAGTCCTTTGGCTCCATAGTACAAAAAACTCAAAAGTATTCCATATCCACATGCACTAAGATGCTTTCTCCACTTTAAATATCTTGAGATTACCTCAAATCCTGTCAAAAGATATAACATTTAAGATCATTGTGTATTATTAACATATCATAATCACCTATAGGATTTGAAAAATTATATGGCCCACGGTGCCTTAATCAACCATTTCCAAACCCGCACATAAAAAAAAAAAAAAAATAATAATAATAATAAATAAAACAAACACCTACAATCTCAAGGAAGGAGCAAGATCCTCTTTCTAAGACAGTATGAGATTCAGAAAGCCCATTAACGTTATCTGCCAAAAGGCTGAGAATGGTGTGAAAGAATATGGAGAAAGAGAGTTAGTTTACTTGTAAAAGGGGATCCATTGAAGACTTAAATTTCACAGGGCTATCCTCCATGAAAATCAACCAACCAATGGTGTAGTAGAAAGTTGTCCTGCTGCGGGAGCATCTGTATTGTTCCAAGAAAGGAAAGTGCTCTCTCTGAACAGATAAATTCAAACCAGGGCCTTTATGTCAAGGATTGATTAAATTTCAAACAAATAAAAATCAAACTAACAATAACAGAACAAATGGGATAATTTTATAAGTGGATTACAGTATGATTTGCTACTATAAACTTGACAGTATCCAACTTCAAAAGAAGCTTGCCAGTCATATATCTGCGAAAAGAAATACAGTAGTAAAAAATTACCTTCTTTTATAGGAAACAAAAAGATTTGCATTACTGTATAAGAAGAGAAAAAGAAGTGGACCAGTTGTAGTCAAACAAGAAATTACTATCAGGGGGATTACATGAATTCTTAAAAACAAAAAATGCTAATGTTTCCGATACTTCTAACAGTACAATAAGGTGGTACTACTAACCCTGATGCCAGCTCCAAGAACAAACTTAATGTGTGATCAATAACCTCCTCACTCTGAAAATAGGCATACACAAATTTAGATGTGATAAAAACTTTCAGAACAATATAATTAATGAACAGAAAAAGTTAAACAATCACCTCAGTGTAACACTTGAGGTTTGTAGCAATCTTCCCAACAATGACATTCAATAGTAACAAGTGATCATGAAGTCCAAGAAGCTCAGATAACCGTGCATATAACTGCTGCAACCAAAAAAAGAGAGCCTCAAAAGATACGAGACATGTAGAGACAAAATGTATAAAAAAAAAAATGTTCAGAAACTTAATTACCTTGGAGGAATGCATAGCTTGATCACCTACATAAGACTTTCTGAAATGCTGAAAAAAAGTAAGAATTGCCCGATCAAGTCTCTGCTTACTCAATTCACGATATCTCTGCCAACAAAAAGATGATGGAATGATTATTGCAAAAGTAACTCCAAAAATTGTGTAGAATTTAGTCCCAAGATTTAAATACATGTGATGTTCTGCTAAATTTAGAAGAAATCTCAGTATTCCACTGCAGTAAAGGACATATATTCTTACATTTCCAAAGATAATAACCATCATGAAATGGGTTTACAACTATTAAGAAGAAGATTAGCCAGTCACAAAAAGAAAGATAAGGAAATAATCTCTAAGCAGAAACAAAAATTCAGTACTAATTTAATCAAAATCCAGATAGCAGGATAAATGGACTCGTCTAAATTGAAAACCGAAGAAGCATAAGGAAACAATTGGATCAAAGTATCTATAATCACCAATAAGCACTCATTTCAATGAAGAGAGCAGAACTTTCCCCTTGTTACAGAGTTCTAAGAGATGTCTTCATCCCTTACTATAAAATTTTAATATATTGACAAATAAATAAAGGACCAGATTTGGACATCAGCAAACAATAAAAGAATGAAAACAATTTTGGCAGTACAAAATTGTCAACAGTTCAACTCCCCACCAATTAATAGTGCAAACTGTCTAAAATAAATCCACTTGAAAGAAAGAAACAAAAGCCACCCCACATTAAAGATATCTGAAGCAAATCAAGCAACACTTGATAATACCCACACAAAAAATACTGCAGAGTGTCGCCATTCTATCTCCAATTGTATAGGACTCCTCTTTTCCAATGTGAGGAAAACCATGTAATTAACCTAAAAGCAATGCAATAAATCAACATACAGATCTTCAGACGCCAACCAAATTCCAACCTCCAATCAACCAATCCTTTCAATTGTAACATGAGAAAGGAGCAATTATGATTATTACAGCACCAGCAGCAAAAATTTGGTTCTTCGGGTAACAATCCTTGAGAATCAAATTTAAACAATCTGCTCATAAATGAAGCAATCCCTCGTACCAATAAGAACTGGTCATAAACTGAATTTTGGCTATAAAAGATACAAGCAAAGCCATATCCAAAAAAACCCAGAGATATACTATAACCTCAAATGCAAAATTCATACACAATTCATCGGCTAAATCTAATAAGAACTTTCCCCTGAATTAAGCCAATAGTCTTCCCACACAACATCAGAAAAAACCCAGAGATATACTCCACCTAACAACCCAAGAGTACTAACCTGCAACTTAAGAAATATCTTCCTAATAATGCCAAAGACATTTTCCAACACTCATATGCAGCTACTGCACTATAACAGTTCAATTATGCTTCAAGCATGGCTACCATGTCAATATCCATTTAATAAATCTCAAATACCTAAGAGCAGATATTTGTAATACAATAATTTGTTGGCACCATAAATTTCAATCTTGGCCGCTGTGCCCTCATGATCAATCAGCTCTTATTTTGAAACTCCAAAATCGATCCCTTCCCTCCAGAGAGAATCTCCACAATGCTTCAACTTGTTTCTCAACACAAAGCTTAGAATCTGAGATAAATCAGAATAATGCAAATAGATTGAGAACTTGGTGATTTCTTCAACCTTTGGAACTAAGACCATTCAACCATGATCAAAGTTTTTTTAAATTCTTTATACTTACTACACTAATGCACCACTGCACAGAGTTCTAGGGGAGAGAAAATGGAAGTTAAACTTTCATGATCTACCTGGGTATGCAGCCCACTGTCAGTGACATTTATTACTTGCAAAACACGAGCTGAAAGTTCTGCATCAAGCACTTCTTGTGATTCCATGCTGCACAGAAGAAGGTAATTAGAGGATTAATCCATAACATCCCTTAAATTTCTAACAAAATCATGTTGAAAAAATAAATNGGCACTAAGACCATTCAACCATGATCAAAGTTTTTTTAAATTCTTTATACTTACTACACTAATGCACCACTGCACAGAGTTCTAGGGGAGAGAAAATGGAAGTTAAACTTTCATTTTAATTAAGAATAGCAATCTAAATAAGAAGTGCTTCCTCCTGATCTACCTGGGTATGCAGCCCACTGTCAGTGACATTTATTACTTGCAAAACACGAGCTGAAAGTTCTGCATCAAGCACTTCTTGTGATTCCATGCTGCACAGAAGAAGGTAATTAGAGGATTAATCCATAACATCCCTTAAATTTCTAACAAAATCATGTTGAAAAAATAAATAAATAAAAAGAACCAGAAGAAGCTCTTTACCTACAGCCAGTGCATTGTTTTATTTTAAGAATAGCAGCAATGATATGAACAATCCAAGCAAGCTTGGCTTCAATGACGGAGAGTTCATTGTTATCACTGGTCTGTACACGTGCTCTTTCCTATATATGTCAAGTAAAAAGTATACTGAGACTCAATTATCAATTAAGGACATTGATGGATACTCTAGATGCAAAAAAAGAGGCTTTCTGATAAATAATCATACCGTATATGACTGCAGAACAGGCTCCATTATGTTTATTATATACAAGCCACTGGTTTCATACTGCAACCCCAGACAAACAGAGGCATCATAAACATCGTTAACATTGAACAAAATGTAAATCATACTGAACACATCATATCAAAAAAAAAAAAAAAAAAAGTTGCATTGACCATCTTTTTGGCTGTAAAAGTTAAAAGAAGATTAAATATATATTGATTTCAAACCTGGAATCTGCAAAGGTAAGGAAAGCAATCTAGCTGATCCTGAAGGAGTTCAACATTGTCCAGTGGATTCTCTGAAAGATCATCTGGGAATCCAGCCTACAGGATACATAGAAAAGGAAACATAAAGACAGATTCTCATTAATAAACTAACTTTATCATGAAAAGTAGTGTCAGTCCCAAAGAAAAGCAATTTTATACCTGTACTGAGTTAAACCTTGAAGTGATGAAACCTTCAGTAATTTTGGGCACAAATTCATCAAGCAGACTTGGTGCATCACCTTTCAAATAAGGTACAGATGTCACCAGTCTGGACCAAAGCCCCAAGAGGTAGTATACACTGCTGCTGGCCCACTAGTAGAAGACATAAATTTGATTAGATTTCAAGTTGAAGAGGGGTAATATGGTCCCTAACATCTTCCTTTTAGGAACACAGAACAATTTACCAAAACACCAGATAAATGTTCAAGGCAATATTTATTTAAAAAAAGAAGCAGGAAACAGATTTTATTAATGAGAAAAGAAATATACAAAGAAAGTGAACCAGCCATTTCTAAAACCAATAGCTATACAAAGTTCAAGATTCTAACAGGATTCAAGTTTCAAAACATCCCATCAGATTAAAATTTGATACAGTTAGACATCAAATCTTTAGGAAATTCTTTAAAAGTTATGAACACCAGTCAACCTGCCAAGACTGCAAGGACTTTAGAGTAAACTCTGCTACTAATTGTATCCAATCGCTATAGCCTTCCACATTCACAAGCTCCGACAACTGCAACACAATTTCAAAATTCAACAAACTTAAGCAATCAAGTAAGATAAATCAGAGACAGGCAACTAAAACCATCATACCTTATGTATTTAATTAGTTCCAGTAAGTGAGGCAGAGAAACAATTAATTACCAATAGCATCTCCAAATTGATATGATAACTCAATTATCAATTTTAATATATTATAAAATAAACAATAAACAACCATAATAATGCTACAATGCATTATAATATGTGCATCAAAATAAATAAATAAAAGGCAATACTAATAGTCTGATTACAATCAGAAATCTTAAGAAAGAGGCATAATGGGGGGGGACTTTTTATGATATTCCAGAATTCGCTAACCCGCTTAGTGAACTTGAGCTCAAATCATGACTCCCACAGACCCTACAATCTTTGACAAGTAAGAACCTCCTTTCTTTTTGCCAGTTGGTGATCTCTAAGGAATAAAATCCTGTACCTTAAGGTGTAGACACAACTAATGGACACGTGGCATTTCATACAAGTTCTTACACTAAGAAAGAAGTCTTGTTAATATATTGAATTGTTGAGTAATTAATGACAATAACAAATGACATTTAATGTAATGAATGCCGTGTCCATAGTTGTGTCTACCCTTTAGTTGTTATGATAAGCCGATTTATAAGTTATAAAAAGCCCATGCAAGTGCTGTAAAATTCAGAGAAAAAAAAGCTTAACCATATGTAATTGTGAGCTGAAGTAAAAGTGTCCAATTTCTATGAAATAACCATATTTCTCCTATTTATTAATAACATCTTCCATAGTTTCACTTATCACCTTATTTTCCTATTGTGCTATTATATTCATATACACACATTTTTTACAAGTTATGACACAATTTTTACGCCATTAGATCTAAGAACTTTGAATGGTTGAGATTCAATGCAACTTGCTCATTTAATGCACTTTGGAAATGACACAATTTTGATTCAATTTCAACCATTCAAATGCTTTAATCTAACGACTCAAAGGTTGTGTCAAAACTTTAGTTAAAAAAATGAGGTTCTTGAACCTAACCCATGTGCGTAGACACATGAACTGCAATTTAATTTTCACTTAAATGTTAACAATTTTCACTTAAATCTTTCACATCATTTAATAATCTTCTATCTGATCCAATCCAATGATCGAGAGAAGAAGGTTAAGATGTAGCAATTAGGACTACTAAATGGTATTATATACACACACACATGCATACAGGTTCATATCCCAAGGTAATAAATTTATTTAAAGAAACTAGTCAACATAAAAATAGAACTACCCAGAATATGCATCTGCAGATACTCATCATATGTAAAATGTCAGCACTTATTAAACAAAAATGTTCACTACAAACACATGAAATATACATGCACACACTGAGATCAGTTGGATACTATGGCATATGGAAATGAAGAAACTAACATCAAAAGGTCATACAACAATTACCTGATAATTCACTCTGAAACGTCCAAGAAGGCGACAATACTCATGGTAATTATCATGATCAGCAAGACCTGAGTCGCAGCATGGGCACCATTTACGAAAGATGAGAAAATTGAATATAATTAAAAGGAAAAAATAGCACAATGGATTAAATACTACACCAAGTATTCATAGTACCAAAAATTATATCCATGACCTAAGAAATAGGTGACAATTTACAACAGAAAACTTCAACCGTTACCATAAACTCTTCCAAAGTTAGTTGATTTGTTCAAACCTGTTTTACTGCAAAGCGTAGTACTAATTAAACATGATAAAATTGTGTAACCAACAAATTTCAACCACACAAAACAAGCACCAGTGGAACAGATTCCATGCCTGAAAAATTTGCCAAGTATATTACATTTAGGATCGAACTTCCTTGTCTATAACTTTATATGTGCAAACTAAATAGATCCAAACTCTGCTGACTATTACCCAGCTTTAGTTATACTTTTTGACACAGGAAGTGGTAAGATGATATCCAGTTCAATGTCTCCCAAATTATCATTAAGACCCATTAGCACAAGCAATAAGTATGAAGCAAACTGTCTCATGATATTCCAAATAAGGAAACTGTATTAACCAAGATTTAAGACCTCTCTTTTAGTCAAGGAAGAATCTGTTATATCAATCAGGGTAATCAAAAGAAAATGCTAAAGAATAAAGAATAAGAATAAGATATACATAAATGAAGAAAACACTACAACAAGGAGAAAGCGATGCAACAATCCAAAATTACCTTGCCCTGTTTGAAGTATGTCTTTGGTTCCTGTCATCAAATGGGCCAAGAACTTAGAGCGAGCTGCATCATTCGTAAATAAAGAACGTCTAACGGAAGCCAGTCTAACCAAGCACTCCAATGCCTGGAAAGATAATTTAGACAATTCCCAATTTATAAAACTCTGAAGAAGCAACTTCATGAACAGTAAAAAGAAAATATACATTCTATAATTTACAGGTCAGTATACATTCTAATTACAGAAAAAGCAGGCCAGCAAGACCAATGCAATGACAATCCACCATTTTGCAACAACATATACAATAACTGCAAGTGATTATAAATGCTTCAAACTAACAAGAAGGATATATATGCCCAAAAAGAGGTTACATCTGGAAATTCTCAAAACGAACATCAAACATCTATAACCTATATTATGAAAGGATGATCATTAATATATCCTTCCCCTGTACAACAGTTTTTTTTATTATTTTTTATTTTACTTTTAGTACCCAAAAGACACTGAAAGTAGTCCATAAAATATTTAGATAAGAAAAACTGCAATATGTTAGTGTCACTGATAAACATGGATTCTCTAAGGAGTAGACTATGAGATATAGATCGCATGGCAGTTTCCAAAGAAAAGCTTCACTCCCATCATATAATTCTAATACAAAACTGACAAAGGTTGGATGGACTTCTAACTTTCTGGTGAAGGATCAAAATTTTTTTATGAACGGGAGAAATCTAGAGCTTAACTGACATGCAGCAACTTGTAAATATGATTCACATATTTAGGGCCTTCGCTGCATCACTTTCTACTTCGCTTATTAGCCTTAAAAGTCATTTACAGAAAAGTAAAATAATATACCACAGTAGTGTCATTTTCCCTTTTCCTGGCTAAAAAAAACTGACAAAAAGGCTATACAGTTTAAAAACACCAAATTGTCCACAAACAATATTCGAAAAGGGGGGTGAGAGGTCAATCTATCAAATTCCTAAAATCTGTATCTGATAATCCCATGCCAATTCCATATGGGCCCTTAAATTTCTAAAGCAAAAGCCTTCATGTGTAACACACATAAAGCAAAGTATTTAAAATTTACTAGACTGCTTGTGAATTAAGGGATGAGTGTAAATAAAATGCAAAGTACGTGGATCAATGTAAAATATGAGAGTTCCAGGTAAAATAGTTCAGTGGTTAGTAGCAGCAATGGTTAGTATGTAGTTTCATGATCTCTCCAAAGCACTAAAACTTAGGACAAATATGATATGCACTAACCTCCTTAGAAAGAGGAGCCTCTGCAATAGCATAATAATCAAAGAATACTTGCAGTGTCGAAGGATCCTCTAAGACTGGTCGCCAAGAAGACGGAATCTGAAAATTGATCACCATATCACTTTAAACTGTAAACTCCATAGCACAAGGCACAAAGTGGAGAGCCTTTAAGCAATTAATAAAAAACAAATGAATAGAGAAGTTATGCAATCAATACCTGAACAGTACCAAACTCTTCTGAACTTTCATCAATAGATGTCCCAACAAAATCAAAAGATAAACATTTAAGAGAGAGCGAAAGAGCCAACTCTTGCAATCGACTGGCAACTGTGTAATACATAATGCAAATCCGTCAAAATGATAATTTATCAACAAAGAAGCATAAAACATATACATAATAGTAGAAATAAGAATGACAGAAAGGTTATAGAGAGAGTGAGAGAGAGAGTAATAACAATATAAGAATAAAAATTAGCAAAATACCATCATTTTTCAGTTGACTCAATGATGTTAAGGATATTTGGAATATTTGAAATAGTGATTGATCCCTAAAGGAACAGGCAACCCGTCGATGATGTGTTGAAGGTAACCCTGGATTAGGCTGACATTTAGGTATCAAGAAATATACAAAAAGATGTTAGTAAGTCAATATATCACAACCAAGACAAGAACAATAATAATTGAAAGAAAAATAGAAGAATGATGTATATATAAAAACAATATCATTACTAGAAAAACAGTACAAACAGGTGGACCAGCAGTCCACAAGATTGAAAATCCCATTACAAGCAATATAGGAACAACCAAAACCAACTACCTAACCACAGCTTTCCAGCTTTAATGAATAAAAAACAGTTAAATATCTTAGAAGCAATAGAAATCAGCACCCAAAGATAAACAAGGAGATGAACCCCACCCCCAGAAAAATTCAGCATCTTCCTTCCTAGCTTCATCAAAAATCCTTCTATTCCTTTCCAACCAAATAACCCAAAAGAGTATCATCACACAACAACTCCATAAGACCTTCACTTCCTTCCCCAAATGCTGCAAAGCTCTCTATAAAGACTATAAGAAGTTTAATCTGGTTTTTGGATCAAAAGCTTAATCAATAAAAACTATAAAAAAGGATTTCATTGATAGTAATGATCATGGTTCTTACATTCTATAGAATGCAACTATGATTGAAACTCAAAAATCTATGGTATAACAAGACAAAAAACCTGATACTTTGTTTGACATATTTAGTTAAGAAGGCAAATGATGAGAATTTATAGAAGAAAGAGAGGATTAGAGAAAAAATGGAATTCCATTTCTCCCTTTGTGTTGGGTGATTGAGAAAAAATGATGTATTTCTCCCTTTGTGTTGGGTGATAGAGAAAAAATGATGTAAGGGGTGTGACCCACAAAATTTAAAAGCTTATACATTATGCTCATGTTTGTGGTGATTTTAATTTTCGTCCATTTTTAGCATTTTTTGGGGAGAATGCCTCCATTACGTTTATGTTCTTTGTGTCTGTCACCCCTCTTGATTTGCTGCATTGATCAGATTTGTGCTTATATAGAATAGCACACTTTCTAGTTTCTTTGCTTCGTTGATTGAATTTGTGTTGACTTCAATTAATCTAATTTGTTTTTTAATAAGAAAAAATGAAAGTTGTATTAATAAAAAGAGCTATAGTAAAGTGGACAAGCAATCCACTAAAGAAACACAAACACGAGAAAACAAGAAGAGGCTATATATGGTGTATACTAGAAAGCCCAAAAATGGCAACCACAAATGAAGGCCAAAAAAAAAAACCAATGCCCCCAACTATCAAAACTAAACATATCACAGAACTTTGTCCCAATTTAAATGAACGAAGAAGAAGGAACAATCTCAAGATTCTTTTCTCATTGATGCCCAAAGGAATGTTGATTTCAACCAATCTGACCTTAGCAGAAAAGCAATGCTTTAGCTTAAGATATTTTAATACCTAAATTTTTATTATTTTTAACATATAGAATCAAAAGATGATAGGAGTTACTTGATTTCAAAATGATTAAGAAGAATACATATTTATAGGCAACCCACAACATCTTTTCCATTTAAGGACAAAAAAAAAAAAAAAAGTATGGTCTACATTTTCTCCAGCATCCTTACCATTTCCATGAAATCATTCATGACAGTCACAAACATATTAACACCACCCAAGTGACCCAACAATATAAATTAACCATATCACCTTAGGGATACATAGCACACAAGAGGAAAATGTAACCTGATTCATCTCAGACACAAGCTGATTCAATATCTTCAGACCAATGGCATAGTGATCTGATGTCGCCTGGCCAAAAAATAGAAAAACTTGTAAGCATCATTTTCTACACTTAAACAGTTCGATTCTGAAATAAAATGGCAGAAATAACACTGGCATGATAAGAAGTAAAAACAGCTCGTGAACATTTTTTGCTTGCATACTTCCAGTTGTAGTACATCACCTGACTCAAGAAATTCGTGGACTCTTTTACCAAGTCCCGGAATCTATCATCATCAAACCAACCAAACTTGGTAAGTCTACACAAGAGTTGAATCAACGATGCCGTCACAAACGGCTGCAATTCAGGTCCTCTTGTCGCCAAATAGTTTATCAAATAACTCCCTACAACCCCACAACAAATTAAATTAAACAAAATAAAACAAAATTCCGCGTTCAATTAAGCAAGTAAACTAACATGAGTTAAATCAATTACTGATATCAAGACGGAGCTGCAAGGCGAGGCTATGCTCAGTGACTTGCTTCAACAAACTCGAACTGGCGAGCATCAATGCGTACGGCGTCAATGCATTGTCAAGAATGTATTGGCATTGTGAAATGTAATCCGTATTCACCGAGAAGCACTTCAGAGTGTTCTCCGCGTGTGCTCGCTCCGCGGAATCTTGCGAATTGTATAACCTCTCACACAATGCCTCTAACTGCGCCAGGCTCTCCATCCAAGACCAATTGTATAATCTAACAACAACACAAACTAATCATTCATTTCGATATCGCAAATATCAATAAATTGCAGAAAAAAAAATCTAAAAACAGAAAAATAAATAAAACAAAAAGAATTGATTTCAAGTCTCGAGAAATGATGAAGATGAATTTGTGAACGTTGATCTTGTCGTAAAGAAAAAGAAAACAGAAAAAAAAAAAAAAAAAAAAAAAAAAAAAAAGAGCGGAGCAGTACCTCGGATCTGAGATCAACACAGAGAGTTTGAGTTTGAGTTTGATTTTGATTTTGATTTTGAGAAGAATAAAAATAATATATGCACTGATTTTTAATTTTTAATTTTTTAAAGATTTTTTGTGTTATTATTATTACAAGGGGGAGACTACAATGGCGAGCAACGTGTTGCTTTGTTCTTTGTGTTTCTTTCTTTCTTGGAGTGACGAATCTTGAGCTGTGTGTGACGCGAGTGTATGTGTGACGCTGTTTAATCACCGTTTGAAGGGTGTATGTGTTGTTTTGTTTAATCACCGTCTGATGAGATTACCGGACGTGCACGCTATGGAAGCATTAAATTGACTTCCTTAGAATTTTGTTGGGTTGAAATAATATAAAGCCCATGTCGTCAATCTAACATAGAACTATCAATAATTTAACGAAAGAAGGACATGTTTAATGGTGATATTTATTTTAAAGAATATATTTTATATAAATAAAAAATATTTTTATTTATTTTTAAATATGAAGAACAAATTTTTTATTTAAATTCAATGGACTCTCTAGATGTGGAGAGTCAATGCATAAAAAAAAAACTTAATATAAGAGAAAATTAATAAATAAAATATATAGAAACTTGTAATTTATTAATTAAAATTAGAATAGAGAAGGAAATTTGACTCTTTAGATGTAAAGAGTCAAACTCACTCTTTAATTTATATTTAAAGAATAAAGAGTTTGTTAGATTTTGTTTTTATGGATAAATTCTTTATAATAAAGAGTTTGGGTTATATAAAGAGTCATTTAGGGATGCTCTAAAAAAACTATCTAGTGATTTAAAGAAATTATAGAAAGTGATCTAAAATTGGGGTTGGTAATGAAAACTAGCCCAAGTGTTGGAATCATCTCATGGATTAGCCCAACCAAAATTCTCCATATTTTTTGGACAAAAATGCCCCTACATACATAAACTCATATTCAACCAAACCCAAACCCTATCCCTTCCTAACCCTTTGCAAAATCTTTCCCTCCTCACCAAATTCAAATCAATCAATCCCAAACCCAGCGTATCTCATCCAAATCTGGTATTTGACGTTTAAAGCTTGGCCAAAGTTTCTAGATCATAAAATCTGAAGGCTAGTCAGTTTTTTTTTTTTTTTTTTAATTTTTAATTTCATCATGAAATTGTAGATTTAGAGATTATGGTGAAGTTCTCCTCTGTTTGGGTTGGTTTGGATGATTTGTTGTGGTGGTTGTGGAAGGTTTTTGTTGAATGATGGCGGATGGGGTGGTAAGAGACACTGCTTGCATATTTTAACCGACACCAAGGTGCTCTTAGTGATATTCGATCAAAGAGTCATATGCCCAAAATCACTGATAGCAATCGACACCTAGGTGTCGGTCAGGTTACATTAAACTATAACTAATCGATACCTTAGTGTCAGTCAATTTACATTTAGTTATCGGTTATCAACAATTATCTGTCAGTTAGTTCACTTCAAGGTACCAATGATCGACATTTGGATACAATCACCGATTCCGTGGATCAAATTGACCGACACATGAGTATCGGTTAGTGATACGTAATTGTGAACTGACCAATACTGTCACTGGTACCTTAATGTAACCTGACTAACACCTAGGCATTGGTCAATTATAGGTTAAGGTTTATTGAGGGATTTTTTTGTGATATATTGCAATGTATGATGATGCAAGTTTACGATGGTAAATGTTAGTAAGAATTTGGTTACTTTGAAGGATACACACCACTATCAGGCAATACTTACAAACAAATGCATTCTTGTAGTGTTTGAAAACATTAGGACAAAGTTAATGGATGCGAAATTGAACCTATTTAGGCAAACACGTTTGTACATCTTCACTTGGGGTATGCCCCTTATATTTGTACATTTTTTTAGGTTCCTTTTATATATCTTACCTTTTTCCACTGGAAAAAAAAAAAAAAGGGAAGTTGTTGGACATGAGGGAGATATAGTTTTTGGGGAAGTTATGCCACAACATACTCCTGAGGGAGGTAAAAATAATTGGATTGGTTAATGAGATGTGGTTTAGAGTTGGTGGGAGGACAATTAATTTTCTCCCCATGAGTTTGCAATTGTGATTGGGTTGTTGTTTGGAGAACCACCTAACTTGGACCCTAAAACGAAGAATACAACTAGAGACAAGTACATAAAATTTATGTCATGGAAAATTAGGATTATGAAAAGTGGTTCAAAGGGAAGACTTCACCAAAGTCCCACCCAAAGATGCAGTAAAATTGGTTCTTATATATGTTTTGGAGTGTTTTATACTGTGTAGACCTAAAAGGAAGGTTCTTAGGTATTAGAAAGTGTTATGGGTCAGCGACTTGGGTTACTTTAACTCATATATGTGGGATAGAATTGCATGGGAGGAGACCCTAGAGAGTCTCGAAAAAGTGACCAGAGGTTGTTTCAATATGTTTGAAGAGCGTAAAAGTAAGAAAGACAATCATGGCACGAAGAGATACAACTTGACCGGTTTGGTATACAACTTGACCGGTTTGGTATACACCTTTTAGGTATGTAATGCACAACCCTTGCTTTTTAATGTTGTATTTACATGTATTTTTTTAATTCTTATTGATTTTTTTGTCATTAATTTTGTAGGTCTAGATTTACGATGTTTTGTCTAATGCAAGGAAATTTGCCCAAGTGCATACGGATAAAGAGATTCCTTATATGCTGAAGTGGAGCTCAAGTCAAGAACCCAATAATGAAGAGGTTTTAAGCAAGGTCAATCAAAAGAAATGTGTATGTGCTAAATATTTATTTGTTTTAATCTGAATAGTTGTCATAGCATTATTGATGATGCTAAGTGTTGATACTTTCCAAGGTTCAAATGAGCTTGTTTTGAATGCAACGTGAGGAGCAGTGGTACCAAGAGGTTGGAATATATTACGACCACAACATAGGTCAACACATCATCGACAAAATTGAAGAGTCGATTGAAAGTGATGGCTCTAATGACAATAACGATGATGATGATGATCAAGAGATGAATTGTGAAGAGTTAGCTGATGATGGTGATGATAAAGTTGTACCCCAAGTAGAATTCGAAAACGATGATGAAGGAGGGAAAAGTGAGGAACAACCACCTAAAAAACTCATGAAAGTTATAACAAAGGCACGATCGACTAGAAGGGATTCTGATGCTGAAATAGTAACAGAGATGACTGAAACCCTAAAATCAACAAGTGATATTATAAACCATCATCGAATTGTACAAGATTTGGATACTAGAGTGGATAAAAAAAACCACACAAGGTTCTTAATATTTCATTCAATATAATAATCAAAACGACCTCCTATTACAATTGAATCAACCTTTAAATAGTTCCCCTAAAGAAACCTAATCCAAAAAATCAAAGAAAAAGCAAAATTAAACAATTATCAAGAAAATCTAAAAAGTCCAAAAACTTACAAAAACACCCCTAAAAATAATAAAAACGTCCAAAAACCCATCTAAACAATTCTGAAAAAAGCTAAACAATGATAAAACTTGTGCCACGAGCCTAACTTATTTGGTTGTTTCAGAGTGCCTCGCCCAAAATGATACCATTCTAACACTATCAATACTATTTAACTCATGGGGCCCCCACATTAGATTCCTATTCTCCATACACCCTTGATTTTTTAAATTATTCATTGTCACGTTGTTATGTTTTTGTTGTGCTATTCGGATCCAATGTAACACTTCATTGTTTTCATGCACATGTCAATGCTACTACCGGCCCAATGTTACGCGGCCTATGGGATGAAGTTGACATGTTGTCAACTAAGGTGAATGATGTCCGCATTGAGGCCCGTGAGTTTAGGGATGATGTGACTATCGAATTTCATACACTCCATGGAGGTGTTAGTTCCATTCCACAAGAAGTGCAAATAATTCAAGATTCTATAAAGAAGGGAGATTCGGTAAGACATTAAAATTCAAATTTCCATTTACTTAAATTCTCATTTTCTTTAACGATAACAATCTTGTACTGATTATCACATGTTTTAATGTAGGTACCTACTCCATCTTTCGCACACAAACCAATTACAATCCCTAACAACAACCTACTAGTCGTTATTGATGAGATGAAGACCGAAGAGCATGCACCGAAGCCTTAGAAGGGCGGATAGAAACTAGAGATTGTTGAGGTCCCTCGTTCATCAAACCAAAGCATGTTTGGTAGGTACGTGATATAACAAAGCCACGTACCTACTGTCACCCTTCTTTACAACCTAGCTGCTCAAAAGTGTAAAAGATATGATACTGGGAGAAATGTCCTTCCTCTATGTGACATGGTCTTGAGAAGCTAGCAGAGATGGAGGCACAATTGGTTAGCATTGAGCCTAATTAAACTTAATATCGAGAATAATAAAATTATGGATTTCTAGAACTAGCATAGCTGCCATAGATTTTGAATATAGAGGGAAGATTTCGGTAGGAAGTAAAGAATTAGGGTGCTGCATCAGGAAATAAGTTGTTGTATCTAATTTATTTGGGGTTGGATGAAAATTACTATTTTTTTGCAATCAAATTTACCGAGGAAAAGAATGTGGAGTGAAAAGAGAATGTGAAAGTCAGTTTGAAGTTTCTATATATATAGAGCCTGAAGCCGATGGAGTTTTGGTGATAGTTTCCTTAACTACTTCTGTTTTCCTAGTGTGGTTTCTATTCAATTTTTTATTAATCGTGTATTGATAAAATTTCAGAGGGTTTGTAGTTCTTGTAGTTGTTGGACATGAAAGCACATAAGATATTCTTGATGCTTAGTTCTACAGTTGATATCATTGCAAATGCATTACAAAACACCCTGGTTTTTATTAAACAACTTAAACTTAAAAAGGAAAAAAGAGACTCTAAGGAAACCAAATTTTATATGTTCATCAAAAGAAATAATGTATACTATCTTAGAAGTTCATGAATGGTGTTTGTTAAAAAAAAAAAAAAAAAAATTAAAGCTCTCTTATTTTATTTTATTTCTTAATATTTGCTTTAGTTTCATCCAACTTTTTAAAGAACATCAATTAATGTTTCCGTTGGTGTCTTTATGTTTTTTTTTTTTTTTTTTTTTTTTTTTTTTTTTTTTTTTTTTNAGCTCTCTTATTTTATTTTATTTCTTAATATTTGCTTTAGCTTCATCCAACTTTTTACAGAACATCAATTAATGTTTCTGTCGGTGTCTTTATGTTT